TTTTTTTTGACAAAGGTAACAGTTTTGTGTATTAATCTTTAGCACTAAAGGCTGGGATCCCAAATTTACATCATGGAGCTACATACAGTTGCGTGTATTTAAAACAAAACTAAACTAGATCCTACTTCATCTTACAAAGGACCTAGGATATCTCTAACCGCTATAGGATCATCTACATACTCCGAACTGCACCAATAGCAAAAAGTGATTATGCAGTTCATTTTAATCCTGTGTAAAGGACTACTGATACTCTCAAAGCATCTCATATTTCTCTCCTTCCATATGGTCCACCAAATCACTGCTGGGACAATCCTCCATCTGCTTTGGTCTGTACTGCCACTGCCTTCATTGTTCCAGCTTTCTATAGCCTGACTTGCCCTTTGTGGCATGGTCCAGTTTGTGCCCCTGAAGCTGGTAAATAAGTGCCACAGTTGTCTAACCACCTTGCAATGAAGAAACAGATGGTTGATTGTCTCTGCCTGTTGCTCACAAAAAAAACATCTAGGACACATGTATTCCCCTCTTCATTAGATTCTCCTGTGTTAGTACCGCCTCTTTAACTACCAACCAAGTAAAGACTGTCACCTTATATGGAATTTTGACTTTCCAGATAAGCTTCCAAGGCAAAAATCTAAGTTGAGTCCCCATTTGGTTCAGGTTCTTGTAGGCAGAGCTAATTGTGAAGATACCTTTGTTGTGATGAATCCACCTAAGAGTGTCTTCTCCCTTTTTCAATCCTCCAAAATGGTCCAGGGTGCCATAAAATTCAGCTAGTCTATCCACCTCCCAGTCTTGTATCCTCCTTCTGTATGATAAGTTCCATCAATGGATGGACCAAACTTCTTGCACAGTGGCCTCTTGTTGCTGATTCAACAGATAGATGTCTGGAAAGGGCTGTTTGAGGCTGCCATTTCCTAACCAATTATCGTCCCAAAACAAAATCTTTCTTCCATTGTTTACATTGAATCTAGTTCTTTGAAAGAAACAATGCCACAAATTTCTGATTGATCTCCATAGGCTAATACCATAGGTAGAAGTCACTTCCTTAGTTTTCCAGTGATCTATCTTCTCATACTTGGCCTGAATCACTCTAACCCAAAGGGCCTGCTCCTCTTTAGGAAATCTCCACAACCACTTCATCATAAGGCTTTTGTTCTGTTTCTTCAAGTTTCTAATGCCTAAACCACCTTGTTTCTTTGAAAGAATTACAGTCTTCCATTTGACCAAATGAAATCCTTTGTATTCTTTCTCTCCATTCCACAAAAAATTCCTCCTTAGTGCATCAATTCTTTCCTCCACCTTAGGGGGGAGAGGGAAAACTGACATCAAATATGTTGGCAAAGCATCTAAGACTGAGTTGATCAGGGTCAATCTTCCACCTCTAGACAAATATTGTGTTTTCCATCTAGATAGTCTTCTTTCACATCTCGCCAGCACCCCATTCCAGATTTCATTGGATTTGCTTTTGTCTCCCAAAGGCATCCCCAAGTATACTGTTGGTAGTTTACCTATTTCTCCTCCCAAGATCTCTGTCAGATGTTGCAATATGTTCACCTCATTAATTGGAAAAATACGACTTTTTCTCCAGTTGATATGGAGACCTGAAGTTGCTTCAAAAAGAATGAGTATCACTCTCAGGATCTTAAGTTGGCTTTCTTCTACATCACAGAAGATGAGAGTGTCATCTGCATATTGGAGATGAGTGACTTCCAATCTTAGATTCCCCTCATTTGCTACATTAAAGCCCCTTATCCACCCTTTAGTGTGAGCAGTCTTTAGCATATTGTTTAGGCCTTCCATTACTATAATGAATAAAAAAGGTGAGAGGGGATCACCTTGTCTTAGTCCCCTGTCTGATGGAAAGAAACCTTCAGGAGATCCATTTATCAGTATTGAGAATTTAACAGTGCTTATACAAAACTTTATCCATCTGATCCATTTCAATCCAAAGCCCATTCTCTGCATGATTTCAAGTAGGAAGCTCCAATTGACATGATCATATGCTTTCTCTATGTCCAGTTTGCACATGACTCCTAGGGACTTTTCCTTCACTCTCGAGTCTAGACACTCATTGGCAATTAAGATTGCATCAGTTATTTGCCTTCCTCTTAGGAAGGCCATTTGTTGAGTATCTACTAGCTTGTGCATCACTTTCTTCAATCTTTCTATGAGAATCTTTGCAATCAACTTGTATACACTTCCAATTAAACTGATTGGTCTAAAGTCTCTAAATTCCTTTGCACCACTCTTTTTTGGGATGAGAACTATATATGTTGCATTAAAGCTCTTTTCAAAAAACTCCTGGGAGTGAAAGTTCTGCATAGTAGACATCAAATCCCCCTTCACTATCTCCCAGCAATTAACAAAAAAACCCATTGTGTATCCATCTGGAAAATCTCTTAAGCTCCTTAAAGGCAAAATACTCTTTTAAGGTTAGGTTCAAATAAAACAGAAGCAGCAAAACCTATCATCACTCATGCTATATTGCTTGATCGGCCTTACGCCCATTGTCCAAGATCACCCCT